ACATCATTGCTTTTCACATCCCAGTCCTTGAATGCTGGGTTGTCTGCTCCCATGTAAATCTCTGCTGGAGGCTTTTCTTTGAAGTCTGATGCCTGCAGTGGGTTAAGAATGTAGCGTCAGGTTTACAAAATGACAAAATCTTGTGCAGTTTAGAGAAATGATACTGGAATATAAATCCTTTGTAAGCGATTATCTAACAAAGGATCTTCTTACCTCTGATTTATTGCAATAGTGGAAGCAGAACAAATCACTCTTCCTCACAAACAGATCAGAATTCCGCCTTTCTTGCTTGCATCCGCCTATAGAGGACAGAGACACATAATCCCTTTGTTGTTGCACAGCTGATTAGACAGTCACGAAGTAGTCAGACTGATTGTGTATCCACAGTGAATGTAGATGTTGGGAAGTGATATCTCACCTGTGATCATGCTCACCAGTAGGCCAGACCCAACTGTGATCAGTGTGCCCAACGGAGCGAAGTAGAGGTAGGACAGAGCGTACCAGGAGTCTGCGAGAGGTGGCCTGAACCTGACACAGCAAGTCAAAAAAAATGAGCAACACCGCAATGCCCTTCTAATGATATATTGTATAAAGTAGGGCTGACTGTTTATTAAGCAGACTAGATTCTATAGTGGTGCCTTTAAATTTCTTTTTATCAAATCAAATTTTATTTATATAGCACTTTTCATACAGTATAGCAACACATAGTGCTTTACAGCATTTTAAAAACAACATAGCATTTAAAAGCATTCTATCATTTACAAACATTAAAACATTTAAGAGTCTTATAGAAGAAAAAAAAAAAAACCCGTCCCTTCCACCCTCCATGCATACACATACACATATGGCACATGCAGTCACACAGACACACACACTCAGACACACACACACACACACTCACTACTTGACTAAAGGAAGCATGGCATGACACTGAGGGATTGTGGGAAACGCTACCATTGGGACCATCCACACCAGGAGGAGTCGCAGACCATGACCACTGGGGGTGCCAGCACCCGGATCCCCGACCCCGCAGACAGGGGGATCCCCACAACGAGGTGGAGAGCCCCCCAACCAGCCGAGCCAAAGGGACCCGCAGACAGAACCCCCAGCAGCAGACCACACACAACCCCCCAGTGTGGAGGACCCCCCCTAAAGAAATACTGGAGTTAAAAACTAAAACTTTAAAGAATAAAAGTCCCTATGTAAGATAAGATGAAAATTAAACAGAGTAAAATACATAAGATAATGATAAGAATGTAAAAAGAATTCAAAGTTCAATTAAAAGCCTGATTAAAAAGGTATGTCTTTAACCTTCTTTTAAAAATATCGACAGTCTCTGCAGTCCTGAGGCTCTCTGGCAGGTTGTTCCACAGGTGGAGGCCGTAGTGGCTGAATGCCGCCTCACCGTGGGTTCTGGTTCTTGCTACTGGAATGGATAAAAGGCTACTGCCTAAGGACCTCAGGATCCGCGAGGGTCGATACAGTAAAAGCAGGTCAGATAAATAGCTGGGCGCGAGGCCGTTAAGACCCTTAAAAACTATTTAAAGAACCTTAAAATTGATCCTGAAGCGGACAGGGAGCCAATGCAGCGACCTTAAAACAGGTGTAATGTGATCCCGCCCTCTGGTCCTCATCAGCACGCGAGTGGCTGAGTTTTGTAATAATTGTAGATTTAAAATACTCTTTTTG